TCAGTCTGAGACACAGGTCCCCGGCTGTAGGGAGCGCCGTGGCCCGGACACCTTCCCTCCATGGGAGCGGCCCTCCCACAGGACAAGCCTCTCTCTCTTTCTGGCCTGCTTCTCTCCCCTGTCCCAGGGACCCGGGTGCCGTCCTCGGTAGGAGCCCTGCACCGATGCCCTGCTGGGCTTCCCTCTCCTACAGGCTCCTCCCAGAGGAAGCAGCCCCCATTCTGACACCCGCAGAGCTTGGCTGGGTTGGGCCGCCCCCCACCCCCCGCCCCCCACCACAGCCCGGCAGCGGGCAGTCTCACAAGTGACCACCAGATTCAGGGGCTCGCTGGGCTCTGACCAGAGCTCCCCGCTGCAGCAGAAGCAGCGGTAGCGCCCTGTAGTGCGCGAGGTCAGGGACATCCGTAAGGACAGATGGGCACCTCTCCAGACAGAGCCTGAGAGTGCCTGAGAGTACTCAGATTGTCGGGGGGTAGTGAGGTTACATGGTTGAGTGGAGAGAGTACACCTGGGCGGGCAGGCCGGTGGCTCAGCGGAGAGGCAGAGGGCTGAGCGCACCGTCCAGTTGAGGCCGGGGGTTTTTAAGGAGATGGGCCTTCACACATCTCCTCCTGAAACAAAGGATTTTATGGCTGTAAATATTAAGAAGCTCCTATCTGAGTTTTCCCCTGAAGGTATCAGACAGGAGGAAGCCTCGCTGGCGCCATCCTGGGTTCAGAGGAAGGGTGAGCAGGACCCCCTAGAGAATGGGGATCCGGAGCAGGGGGTTTGAAATGCAGGTAGTGGGCTGCATCTGGGAGATTGTGGAAGATTTGTCAGGCAGAAGGGGCGGGACCTCCACCTGGCAGGTTATCAGGTAGGAGGGGCAGGCAGGATGCGAAGGGCGGGCTGCCCTGAAACATCATCGGGATGACTTTGAGATGCAGCATATGCTGGACGTAGACGTCTTCTCTTTAGGCCTGTCATACACACATAAGCTCCTACCCAACTTCCTACCCAACACAACCTCAGTGTCTGTCAGCTTCAACACCACGCCGCTCCCTCCCCAGAGCTCCTGTCCATTGCTGGCCTGGGTAGCTCCTGTCATCTCTGGATGCCACAGGGCCGGGTCTGGGTGGGTTCACAGTGCCTCTGCAGCTGCTGAACAGGGGGATCAGACAGAGTGGCGCAGTCACGGGGCAGCCCTGGGAGATCACCGTGCCATCCACATGCAGGGGAGGTGAGGGAGAGAATGGGGGTTCTGTGACCCCCGCTTTAATGCCTTCCAGCCATGGAGAGACGTGGGACTCTGCACAGCACCGCCCCCCGTCTGGAAAAGGGAGCACGGGCTCCATCTCCTTTCTGAGCTACAGAACCTCGAGGACCACAGCCCTCTCCCTGCAGGTACAGGAGGGAGGGTGGGGACAGGAAGGCAGGTTTTCTGTGCTCCCTGGAAGTGATGGCGAACAAGGTCCCGCCTGTCTGCCCCGGCTCGTGCTCCCAGGGCCTGAGCACTTGCCTTGGGGGAGATGAAAGGGCTGGATTTCAGAGACAGCATGAGGACTGAGGCAGGGCCGCTCTGGCTCCAGGGGTCGACCCCTGGGGCTGGGTTTCCTCTCCTGTCCTGTGGCACAGGGACCAGCTCTTCCCCAAGCTGCCCCAACACAAACTCTCTCCAAACACCGACCACAGAACTCAAGTAAACCCCTGGCGCCGTGAGGACGAGGCCAAAATCCCCACGGTGTCTCCCGGGGTGGGGTCACCTCTGGCTTTTGCGCAAGTTTCTGATTTTTTATTTTTAAATTCTGAAATTGTGAGAGGCGGAGAGAGAGCGAGCAAGCCAGATCCATCCATTGGGTCACTCCCCGAATGCTCTGATGGCTGGGGTGAACCAGGTCCAACGCCAGGGGCCATGAGCTCTATCCATGACCCCACCTGGGAGGCAGGAACCCAGCTGCCCAGCCGGAGACCATGGCCCCAGGACCTGCCTGAGCAAGGAGCTGGAGCCCAGTCACAGCAACAGACGTGAGCTGAGTTTGTGAGGGGGCAAGAAGCCATTTTCGTTGCATCCTTGCCCGAGTCCAGGTGCCCTCTGCTGCATTCCTACGCTGCTCTGCACACCCCTGCTGTGGACAGGGCTCTGCACAGCCAGCTGCGAGTCTCTGTCAAGGACACAGCGGGGCTGAGAGGCACCTACCTGTGACCATGAGCTCCAGGGCACCACTGGGGGCCACCACACCTGGGGGCTGCCATGGTGGCTGTTGCTGTGGATTGGTTCTGAGAGGAGGAGCATGGTGGGGGCAAGAGGCGCAGAGTCACCACACAGACCCCAGGAGTCAGGTGAAAGCAGACCAGAGGTGAGCAGTCCACAGACTCGTTTATTTCAGTTGGTACAGTAGCTTATATAGCCAAGGCAGCCAATCCAGTCAATGGGCAGTTTATGCCCTAACCAATCACATCCTGTTGCCAGGCTTACTCCATTTCCAGGTGGCTTCCAAGGGGGCTTCCGAAGCCATTCCTGAGTAACTGAGGCTCACTTGCGTGTGGCCATCTTGGTATGGCCTTCTCATTCCACTACAGGTGGTGACCGCAGAGATGCGGGGGTTTCCCAGACCAGAGCCAAGGTTCCCTGGAACCCCTTGCATCAGCGCTGTGGCAGGAAGCCATTTCACTCCGGGCTCACTGGATCTTTATCAAGAGGATGCTGGAGGAGGAACAACATGGCAGGGAAATGTTCTGTCCTGACTAACCCCAGACCCTGATCCACAACAGGCAGGGCTCATCACAGGAGCCTGAAAGAGAAGAGGAGAGGTCGACAAACTTTCTCCTTTTAAAGAAATCATTGCTTTGATATTCAAAAGTTGTATTTCTGTATAATTGTCATGTAAACATCAAACACACAAGCACACAACACAGACACGCACACAAACGTGGAAGAGCTAACCCAAGCTAGATAACGTGTGCATTACCTCACAGACTTATTGTGTGGTGGGAGCATCTGACACAGTTTTAAGCATTTTCAGCTGCCCATGCCGTGAGCGTTATTAACTACAGTCGCCATGACGCACACTACACCTCTAGACCTCTTCTCCCACGTGATTCTGTAGCTCTGCACTCTGACCTGAGGATCCCAGCACCCACGCCTTCCCCTGGTGACCACCATGCTGCTCCCTGAGTCCCTCACAGCCCACCTCTGAGTGACTTCCCGTGTGGGTTCTCCTCTGTGCCTGGCTTGTTTCACTTCCACAGTGTCCGCAGTACCTCGTTTTTTTGAAAACACCCGGGTTTCACTCGTTTCATGGCCGAGTCTTATTCCACTGTGGGATGCCTTGCTTCTGGCCCCATTCATCTCGGTTGATGATGACAGTGATGTGGCAAGGCACTGACAGGCATCTGTCCTTTCCTTAGCCGTGCATCTGGTTGAGTGGAAGTCCCCCTCCCAGAAACAGGAGCTGGCAAAGCGTGCATGCAGTGGGGTTCACAGCAGAGACACAGAAATGCAACGACCCCCTCTGGCCTCCACAGCCCTGCACAGCCCCAGGGCTCTGTGGGCTTCCAGCCCTGGGTGTTTCTGGGAAGGGTGCTATGCAAGGCCCATTGTGTGTGGCTGTGCCCCTAAGCCCCACACATCCTCACTTCACAGCTTCCTGGGGCTCATCAGAGTTCCTACAGAGACAAAGACTCAGCTCCCTGAGCCCCGCATCACCGGTGCACATCTGGCTCCTGTCCCTGGCCGGCTGTGCTTGGACAGATGCCTGTGTGCACAGTCCCTGGGTGGTTGTCAGAGCCTCCCCCTGGCCCTCGGTGGTGAGAACGCTCCACGGAGCCTGCACTCAGCACACTGGTGAGCGCTGCGCCTGACCCTGACCCTTGCCAGGATGTGGGTCAACGGGAGCGCCTGCCTCCGTGCAGGGGGTGGGTTGCTCTGTGCTGTGCCGAGGCTGGGTCTGGTGCTTTGAGGAACTATAAGCCTCTTGACACAGTGGCTGAACCCTGCACATTCCAGCCGCGTCTCAGGGCTGTGATTTCCCCACACCCTGACCACACTGCCTACTGTGTCTTCGAGAAGTCACCAGTGAGGTGGCATGGGGGGTGCCTCTCTCTGGCATTATTTGCACTTCCCTTCCCTTGTGCTGAGTGAGTTGCACCCTTGCTTTTCCTACTGTGGCTTCCAGATCTGCATCCAATGTGTTCGTTGTCTTCCTGTTCCCTTCATAGCTGTCCATGGTGCACAGAGTTCTGAAGTTTTGAGGATGATCAATGCAGCCATTTTCCTGTTTGTTCCTCATACTTTCAGAATCACAGCTAAGATGCTGTGATGAAGTCTGAGGTCATATTTACCCAGGTATTTCCTTCTAGGAGTGTTTAAAAATTTTTTTGTAAACTCTGATTTATTTATTCGAGAGGTAGGGACATAGAGAGGAGAGACAGCAACAGAGATTTGCCACCTTCTGGCTCACTCCCCAGATGGCTGGGCCAGGCTGAAGCCAGGAGCTTCTTCTGGGTCTCCCACGTGGGTGCAGGGCCCCAAGCATTTGGGCCATCCTCTGCTGCTTTCCCAGGGGCATTAGCAGGGAGCTGGATCAGAAGTGGGGCAACCGAGATTGGAACTGGTGGTCATATGGGATGCTGGCGCTGCAGGTGTTGGCTTTACTCCTTCAGCTACGCTGTGGTGGGGTGGGGTCCCAGCCCGTAACTGGAAACACTGGTGCAGAATCCACAGCGCTCTCTCAATCCCCCTCCCTGTACTATGTGAGAAAATCAGACTTGCACCGCACGGACAAGCAGAGTAACCAGCCATCAGAGGAAGCCGGGCAGGCATCCGCACTCTTCCAGAACACCGGGTGCTGCCGTCCGCCAGAGCCGCCGTGTTGTGGGGTTTATGTTAGTTGTGCATTGAGAAATCCAGATGACCTTGAACTTCCCGTGCCTGAAGAAACCCTGCACACACTTTCTTTCACTTCTGTGTGGTCCTCTCAGAGGGTGGATTCCCACGGTCATCTGGGATTTTACCTTAGAGTTTGATAAGCCACACGTTTTTAAAAATATTTATTTAAAAATCAGAGTTACAGAGAGAAGGAGAGAGAGAGGTATCCATCTGCTGGTTTCATCCCAATGGGTCCTCACAGCTGGAGCTTGTCTGATCTCCAGCCAGGAGCCAGGAGCCAGGAGCCAGGAGCCAGGAACCAGGAGCCAGGAGCCAAGAGCCAGGGGCCAGGAGCTTCTTCTGGGTCTCCCAGATGGATGCAGGGGCCCAAACTCTTGGGCCATCTTCTACTGCTTTCCCAGGCCACAGCAGAGAGCTGGATTGGACGTGGGGCAGCCAGGAATTGAACCGGTGCCCACAGGGGATGCCGGAACCGTAGGCAGCAGCTTTTATCCATTAAGCCACAGCACCAGCCCAGATCTATTGATTCTGACCTCCCACATCTGGCCCCACCTGTCATGGCCTCCTTTTTGTGAGCAGAATTTTAAATCCATCCTGAGTGACAGGTGTCCCACCACATCCTGGCCCACTTGCTGAAGGTCAAGGGGAGCAAATCCTGGCATTACCCTCTCCGTGGGCGGCAGAGCTCGGGCTCCTGTGGACACTCAGGGCCACTGAGCTGTGTGCGGTCCCTGGAGAGGAACAGGACGGAACCGCACGGGAGCCTGCAGGGCGGTGGGCAGGGCTGCGGGAGGCCAGAGCCCCTTCCCAGAATGCACATGGGAGCCCAGGGGAGCAGCACTGCCAGCAGCCCACCAGGGTCCCTGCCCCTGAGCAGGATTCCCACAACCCCAGGTGAGCTCTTCCCACTTCCCACAGCTTCTCACCATGCATGCCTGATCCCCCCTCCCCCGCACCAGGGCTTGGCCTCTCTGACCCAGCTCTGTCCTCTCTCCAGGTCACCGCTGGCCTGCAGCCCGGGTCCTTCTCTGGCTGTACCAAGCCTCTGCCAGCAGAAGCCCGAGGCCCAGCAGGACCAAGCCCGCCACGCCCATGCGGATGAGGTTCTCCAGGGAGTGGTCCTGGGGCGCTGGGGCTGGGGGTGTGCACGGAGGGGTCATCAGGCCGGCCAGCCCCAGTAACACAGAACCCCCTACTCCCCTCAGTAGCCTGAGTCCTGGGTCAGGCCTGTGGCTCACTCACCAGTGGGGGAGCCTGGCTGGGGGTGCGAGGGGCTGCTGGGCTCTGGTCCTCCTGAGAACAGGTACAGGACAGTGAGGAGGAGGAGACCCCGGCCTGCTCCACACTCTGTGCTTCCCAGCCTCTCGTCTCGCGACGCAGTTCAGCGTGGTCCTCGTGTAAGTCGCCCACACATCACTCTGTCTGTGTTCTGGAGCCGCCAGGGAACTCCGCAGGGGAGAGACATGTGGCAGCCAAGCCTGGCGAGCTTCTCCCTACAGGAGCAGGTCCCGGGCCCACCCTGGGCCATGACCAGGCCCCACTGGGCTCCACAGTCTCTGTCCTACTCTAATAGACACCCCGGGGTGTGAGGCCCGTCCTGGGTGGGTCCTGTCCAGTTCTGCAATGCTTGCCCGCTGTGGGAGCACGGCCTGGGGCTGCCGGCCAGGGCGCTGGGCAGAACCCATCAGGCCCTCTGCAGGGACCACTGAGGGTCCTGCTGGGTCAGGAGGGAAGAGGGGCGGGGCTGCACACTGGCTCCGCCCACACCCTATCCCTCCTGCCCTGCAGTCCCACCGCCCTCACTCTGGGTGTCTGGCCCAGGAGCCCCATGCCCCTTGCCCAGTTCCCATCTACGCCTCCTCTCAGTGTCTCCGTGACCTACCCAGCTCCTGCTCAGGCTGTGGCTTCCTCACCTGTCACCCCCAGCTCCAGGGCGTCACTGGGCTCTGACCACACAGAAGGATTCTCCCTGTAGGAGCCATAGCATTGGAACGCCCACCTGCGGCCAGGAGTCACAGGGCCCACAGGGAACAGGGCCTGGGACTGCGCACTAGGGTGTGGCTCTGAGCTCCGGGTCCTGGCAGCCCAGGGCACCCCCTCCTCTGTCAGAATGAACCTGTGGAATCCCAGCTGGGAGCGGCACTGGAGGGTCACATTGCCCCCTGAGGTCACCACGGGGCTGGGCAGGGCCGAGAGGCTGGGCTTGCTGTAGGCTCCTGGGAGAGGAGGAGCAGTCATGTGAAGCAGGGCTCACCCCTCACGGTACCCCCAGGGCTGCGCTATGAGAGGGGGGCCCCTGGGAGCAGACCCCTCCCTGAGGGCACAGCCTGTGGGGCAGGGACCCTGCGTGACCCTCACCTGACACCCGCAGCTCCAGGGCATCACTGGGCTCTGACCAGCCAGCAGTGCTGAGGCAGACACAGCTGTAGCGCCCCGTGTACACCTCAGCCATGAGAGGGATGGAGAACTTGACCTTGTTTCTGCGCTCCAGGGGCATCACTCTGTCCCAGGGCTCTGGGATTCCCTCTTTATACAGACGGCACTCCTGGGCCTCCAGGGTCCCCTGACACCACAGGGCCCCAGGCCTGCCCAGGGCGATCACAGAGCCTGGCTCAGCCCAGAGGATGGGTCTGGGGAGGGTCCCTGGAAGGAAACCAGAGGCTGGGTCCCAGGACCACGTCCCCTCGTAGGCCAGGACCCTCCCAGACGCCCTCCACACCAGACAGGGCTGCTGTCCCCACCCAGGCTGCCTGGGGTGGCCCTTGTCCCATGGGGGGGAGGGGACCTGCACAGTGGGGGGCACGCTCACCTGCCTGCACTCGGGTCCTGGGGCCTGCACACAGCCCTGGAGGAGAGCTCCCCGTGAGAGGTTTGCCCCTGTGCCCGTCCTCTCCTCCCCGGGGCTCCTGAGCCTGGGGTCTCCAGGGGCAGGGCCTGGCAGTGGGCAGGGTCGGGGTCCCTCCCAGAGCAGGGTCTCCTCACCCTGTCTTCCAGTCTCACCCAGGCAGAGCAGGACCATGAAGGACGGGTTCATGGCGTCTCCTGACCAGCCCCGGCACAGCGCCCACGGCACGGGCACACACCGGGTGTGGAAGCTCGGAGGCCGGGTCTTCCCAGCATCGCAGGGCTGTTCCACCCGCAGCCCCACAGGAAGGGAAACCGCACCTCACCCCCAGCCATGCCCTCAGTCCCCAGGATGGGGAGGGCACAGGCTCCCTGCAGGGATGGGGCCCCGCCCCCGCCCTGTCAGCCGGCTCCGCCCTCCTCTCCCAGGGCCAGGACCCAGCATCATGGACACGGGGCCTCCCTAGTGGCCCTCCTAGTGGGCTGACTCCTGCCCCGGGGTGTCTTGTCTCCGCCTTCAGTTGCTGTGCACACAGCATGCAGGAACCAAGCCCCAGGCACATTTCCCGCCAGATGTTTCGCAAGGGCCAACTTCCTTCCTGCCGTGTCCGGGCACCACGTCCCCAGCGGGCACAGGGCGCCTGCACGTGTAGCCGTGTGCCAGGTGTGACATTTCATGGCTGAAACTGACAGGATCCTTCCTGGAATTCCCGGGCCCAAGACTCCTGCAGGGAGCTGTGACAAATGCTCGGGTGGTGGGGGCTGGCGCTGTGGCGTAGTGCGCTGGCATCCCATATGGGCACAGCTTCCTGGTCCAGAGCTGCTCTTCCGATCCCGCCCCCTGCCATGGCCGGGGAAGCAGTGGAAGTTGACCCCAGTGCTTGGGCCCTGCCCCAAAAGCGGCTCCAGGCTCCTGGCTTTGGATTGGCCCAGCTCCGGCCGTTGCAGCCATTTAGGGGGTGAACCAGCGGATGGAAGACCTCCCTCTCTGCCTCTCTCTAACTCTGCCTTCCAAACTCATCTGTAACAAAACAGATTCAGATGGTGGAGAACCCTCCTACGGTTTTGTAGGTTGCTGTGTCGGAGAAAGAGGGGCCTGGATCCACAAGAACAGGTGAGTGTGGGGAGGGGCATCCTGGGGGGCGGGGGAGCGGCCACAGGAGCCCGGCCGCATCCAGGGATGAGCTGCTCAGAGCCCCAGTGTCCCCGCCTGGCAGGCATCTCAGGCTCTCAGGGGCGCTGAGACAGGAGCAGGCAGTGGGCAGTGGGCGGGCAGGGACACAGTCATCTTGAGGTGAGAGGAGGGTGGGCGGCTGGGGGAAGCAGCAGGGTCCCAGAGCCCCAACCCAACTGCTGCTGGTCAGCTCCAAGCCATTGGCTGCCGCCTGGCCACTTGGGCTAAGCCTGCACAAACAGCTCCAGAGCCACCAGGCCCTGCCTTCCCATGAGGAAACCACAAATTCCACCATGTTGTACATGCATACCTGCGCCAGCTGGAAACACCCAAGAGGGCCGCCTAAAGACACCCCCGGGACGACCATGGGGTCATCCCTCGAAATTTCCGTGAGGGGTCCTCCCACTCCCATCATGCACCTCCACTCCCTGACACTTCCCCTTTTTCCAAAACAGAGCCTGGAAATGAGTGGTGCTCAAGCCCCACCCAAACTCCACCCACTTTGAATATTCAATCAAGCCACACCCCAGAATGAGCACTTTGCCTCTGGCTGGCAGATGAGGCGTGGGGAGGAGGATGGGGCTGGGGACGTTGTTTCTCCCAAGGGCCGTTTGGATGTTGGCAGCATCATTCCGGGCCCGTCCTGCTCATCAACTTAAAGAATTCCCTGAGTTTGAGTCGCCTGTGGCTGCCGTGGCAGGGTCTGACCACGGGACTTCCTGGTCTCCCGTGGCCTGTAGGTTGCGTGCTCCCCTCCCCTGGATGACCTGGATCGCTGAGGCCCCCATGGAGGGTTTTCTCTATGGCGTGTGTGTTGTGCCCCTGTACTCACCTCTTTCTCTCGCTCCAGCTGGCCTGATCCTGGGGTGCACTCACGAACCCTGCGTTCCTGCACCCCTCGAGGCCTCCACGTGCATCCTTCCGTGCATAATGGAGGAAGAAGCCGTGAGTCCAGTCTGGTGACCCCGCTGCCCGCCCCGCACGGAGCCGCCCACGAGGGGGCCGCCAACACCCCCACTGTTCACATGGGCCCTGGACGTGGCTGTGGTTGGGTTTGCTATGGGGGCAGGGACACGTGTGTGGGGGCTGCATCACCAGCAACGAGGGGCAGAGACACTGGTGTTTGGTTGGAGGAAGGTGCAGACCAGCGGTGAGATTCAGATCCGGGAAGGGGGGGGGTGGATACGACGGGGGTGGGGTGTGATGAAATAAAGTATTCACAGGGAGTGAGCAGGTGCACGGGGACTGGGGTGGAGCTGTCTGGCGGGGTTCACGGGGTTCACAGGTGGTGAGTGAGGGGCCCCTGCCTGCCCTGCTTCCACGCAGGCATCACGGGACCCCGAGGAGGGGACCCTGGGCAGGGCTTCTGTGACAGCCACTGACTCAGAGGGAGTTCCCACGGTCTGGGCGTGTGGTTTTGTTTCTCCCAGCCTCCTCCCTCTGACCTCCTCAGCACCTCCTCCTCCCTCCATCGCCACCTCCCGGTCATTTCTGCCCCTCAGTGCTCAGTCCCCTCCCTGTCTCAGACCCTGCTCAGCGGGCTCTGGATGAACTGGCCTCTGGGTCACTGTCAGCCGCCCTGTGCCCCGGGAACTCAGACCCGGGTCTGCCTCAGGACCAGAGTTGAGCTGGGACCCCGGGTCTCAGGCTGAGAGAGAAGATGGCCCAGGCCAGTGAGGGCGGAGCCGTGGGCACTGCCTGCTCAGCCTGGGACACAGCTCAGCCCCTGCCCTGCCGAGTGAGCGCTGACCAGGACTCAGCGCTGGGCTCCGGGCCCACGGCTGGGGGAAGGGTTGGCGTCGGGGCTCCCGAGTGTCAGGAGCTAGAGGGGACACGTCGGGGCTGCCACCCTCCCTGCACCTCAGCCAGTGCACCTGCTGCTCCGCCTCCCTTTGTCTCTGGCTGGCGCACAGCTGTGTTAGAAACACAGGCAGCACACACAGGTGAGTCGCGCTCACGGTGCCCCTCAGCCGGCTGCTGCCCGTGATGCACAAAACTGTGTGTGTGGGGCCGGCGCTGTGGCGTAGCCGATTACGCTGCCGCCTGCAGCCCGGCATCCCATATGGGTGCCAGTTCATGTCCCGATTGCTCCACTTCCGTTCTAGCTCCCTACTGTTGCACCTGGGAAAGCAGTGAGGATGACCCAAGTGCTTGGGCCCTGCACCCACGTGGGAGACCTGGAAGAAGCTCCTGGCTCCAAACACGCCCAGACCTGGTCGTTGTGGCCATTTGGGAGGTGAAACAGCAAATGGAGGACCTCTCTCTGTGTCTCTCCTCTCTATCTGAAAGATTTATTTATCAGAGGCAGAGTGCGTGCACGCGCACACATGCACACACACACACACCAGCCATCAGAGGGAGACCACGTTAGAAACTCGGCACCAGGTTCGATCCTGACAGCCAGACCCACGCCCTCCTGGGAGCGGAGCTCTGACTTAGACACACAGGGACAGAGGACCAGGCCGGTCAGGTGTCGGGGCCATGACGATGCTGTGATGGGGGTGCACGACACACGTCACACACGCAAACACCAACACGCCCCCAGCTCGTGACAGCCTGGATCCCAAGCACACGGGACAGAAGACAGCACCAGGCTTCCTCTGTAGTCACGCATAAACTACACCCGCCCCAGATACGGGAGAGGATTTCCCACGCTGACGCACCCAGTGCCCCCGGTGACCTCTGCCCGTGAAACGACTGCTGGGAAAGTCAGGAGCAGGGCCCCCCACGCACAGGGGTGCACGGAACACGCGGGCTGGAGAGAGTGGACCCACACCTGCAGGCAGAGGCCCGGCGACCCAGGCGAGCAGGTGCACGGCCCCTCCTGGGCTTCACGTGTGCCTCCAGCATGGAGGCCGCCAGGGGAGCTCCGCAGGGGCGGGGCCACAGGGACCCACAGCCCGGCGAACTTCTCCCTACAGCAGCAGGTCTGGGGCCCTCCCTGGGCAGGGCCAGGGTCCACTGAGCCCGAGCAGAATCTGTCCTGCTCTAGAAGCCCACCGAGCCCCCGGGGTGTGAGTGAGACCCGTCCTGGGTGGGGTCCTGTCTAGTGCTGCATCTGCTCCCCCGCTGTGGGAGCCCGGCCTGGAGCAGCTGGCCAGGGCGCTGGGCAGACCCCGAGTCCCTGTGTGACCCTGTCAGGGCCTCTGCAGGAATCAACCAGGGCACTGCTGGGTCAGGAGGGAAGAGGGGTGGGGCTGCACCCTGGCTCCGCCCACACCCTTCTCCCTCCTGCCCTGCAGTCCCACCGCCCTCACTCTGGGTGTCTGGCCTAGGAGCCCAAGCCCCGCACCCAATTCCCATCTACACCTCCTCTCAGCGTCTCCATGACCTACCCAGCTCCTGCTCAGGTGTGGCTTCCTCACTGTCACCCCAGCTCCAGGGCGGCACTGGGCTCTGAGCAGCCAGCAGCGCTGAGGCAGACACAGTGGTAGCGCCCCGTGTACACCTAGCCATGAGAGGGTGGGGAACGTGGCCTTGTTTCCGGGCTCCAGGGGCATCGCTCTGTCCCAGGGCTCTGGGATTCCCTCTCTATACAGACGGCACTCCTGGGCCTCCAGGGTCCCCAACACCACAGGGCCCCAGGCCTGCCCAGGGCGATCACAGAGCCTGGCTCAGCCCGGACGCTGGGTCTGGGGAGGGTCCCTGGAAGGAAACCAGAGGCTGGGTCCCAGGACCACGTCCCCTCGCAGGCCAGGACCCTCCCAGACGCCCTCCACACCAGACAGAGCTGCTGTCCCCACCCCAGCTGCCCGGGGTGGCCCTTGTCCCATGGGGTGGGGGTGGGGGACCCGGCACAGTGGGGGCACGCTCACCTGCCTGCACTCGGGTCCTGGGCCCGCACAGCCCTGGAGGAGAGCTCCCCGTGAGACGTTTGCCCCGCCTCTGCGCCCGTCCTCTCCTCCCCGGGGCTCCTGAGCCTGGGGTCTCCAAGGAGCAGGACCTGGCTGTGGGCAGGGCGAGGTCCCTCCCAGAGCAGGGTCTCCCCTCCCCGTCTTCCCGTCTCCCCCAGGCAGAGCAGGACCACGAGTGCGGGGGTCATGGCGTCCTCTCCGCCGGCCCCAGCACAGCGCCCGCGGCAGGGACACACACCGGGTGTGGGCGCTCGGAGGCCGGGTCCTCCCAGCATCGCAGGGCTGTTCCGCCCGCAGCCCCACAGGAAGGGGCACCGCCCCCACCGCAGCCAGGCCCTCAGTCCCCAGGATGGGGGCACAGGCGCCCTGCAGGGATGGGGCCCCGCCCCGCCCTGTCAGCCGGCTCCGCCCTCCTCTCCCAGGGCCAGGACCCAGCACCAAGGACACGGGCCTCCCGGAGCCGCCCCTCAGGTGGGCTGATGCGCCCCGGGGTGGGGTCGTCCCCGCCCTCAGCCCCTCCTGTGGGGTCGCAGCCCGGCCACTTCCGGAGGACGCAGGTGGGCGCAGCCCCGCTCCCGCCCGGCCCGGAGGTCCCGGGGCCCGACCCAGGGCGGGGGAGGCCCGGACGCCCCCTCCGCCGCGGACGCCGCTCCCACGCCCTTCAGCCACAGCTTCCCCTGACCCGACCACCCCGCTGCGGGCCCTGAGGCCTCCCAGGACCTGCGCCGCCCCCTCCCTGCCGCCTGCCCTGACTCCCGGGGGAGGCGCCCTCACTGCGTCCCCTCACACACCCCTCTGCCCTGAGCCTCAGCTTCCCCGTGTGGGCGGACACGGACTCACCTGAGGCGGCCTCGCGCACACGCACACCGACTCTGGACTGCGCATGCGCACGTCAACAAGGGATTGCGCAGGCGCACACCACCACGGGCCTCGGGGACACAGCCCGACACGTGACTGTACATATGCACAAGACAGGACTGCGCATGCGCATGATGACACGCTACTGCGCATACGACGACAAGTGACTGCGCAGGTGCACGCCGACATGCTGCGCTCACACGTCACTGAGGGGAGTGCGCGCTGCTTTGCCGCTGTCTCCGTGGAGGAAGAGTGCGGGTCCTTGTAGGAAACGTGAACCCTGACTGCTGCTCTGCGCGGCCCTGCAAGTCCTCGCCAGAGCAGGTGGGCGAGAAGAAGCCTCAGAAGCGTCCGAATTGGGAAGGAAGAAGCCATGTCGTTTCTCTTGGCTGATGACGCCATCTTACCTAAAGACAACCCAACGTCTCAACCAGAAACTGCCCTCACTGGTCACCGTCAGGTCGCAGGATCGCAGTCAACACACGAACTCCCGTCAGCGCTCCAAGGGAGATCCACACAGCTCCACTTAGCAGAGCCCAGACCTCCAACAGCCTGGAGTGAATTCCTCTGCTGCAGGAGGTGAATGCAGAGACCCCGCGTGGGTTCACAGCGCATCTGCGGCTCGGGAACAGGGGGATCAGACCGAGGGGCGCACTCGGGGGGCAGGCCCTGGGAGGTCACCGTGCTGTCCACATGCAGGGGATTAGAGGAAGGGAACTCAACCATGCTCCAGCGTGTGCACCGCTCGTGGCTGCTGTGCTGTGCCCAAGCCCACCTGGCTCAGCTGACCCCTTGTCCCCAGGGATACTGACTGGGGGAGGGCAGAGGATGTGAGCTGAATGTGGTGGGGGGGGGCGAGAAGCCATTCTCGTCGCATCCTTGCCCGAGTCGTGGTGCCCTCTACTGCATTCCCACGCTCCTCTTCACACCCCTGCTGTGGACAGGGCCCTGGACAGCCAGCCGCGGTTCTCTGCCAAGGACACAGAGGGACTGAGAGACACCTAACTGTGAGTACTAGCTCCAGGGCACCACTGGGGGCCGCCACACCTGGGGGCTGCCACGGTGGCAACTACAGAGATACGGGGGTTCTAGGACCAGAGCCAAGGTTCCCCGGCACCCTGGTGTCAGCGCTGTGGCAGGGAGCCATTTCCCTCTGGGCTCACTGGAACTTATCCAAGAGGACGCTGGAGAGGAAATCACAGGAAAATGTTCTGTCCTGGCCTCACCCCAGACCCTGTTCCACGGCCAGGCAGGGCTTGTCACAGGAGCCTGAGAGAAGGGGTGAGGGCAGCACACTTTCTCCTTTTAAAGAATAGTTACTTTGAAGCCAAAGGTTGTATTTGTGTCTATTTGTCACGTAAACATAAAACACGCGCACACACACACACACGTGGAAGAGCTAACCCAAGCTAGATAACGTGTGCATTACCTCACAGACTTATTGTGTGCTGGGAGCATCTGACACAGTTTTAAGCAATTTCAGCTGCCCATGCCGTGAGCGTTATTAACTACAGTCGCCATGACGCACACTACACCTCTTGACTTCTTCTCCCACGTGATTCTGTAGCTCTGCTCTCTGACCTGCGGATCCCACGCCCTCCCCTGGTGACCACCATGGTGCTCCCCGAGTCCCTCACAGCCCACACCTGAGTGACTTCCCGCGTGGGTTCTCCTCTGTGCCTGGCTTGTCTCACTTCCACAGTGTCCGCAGTGCCTCGGTCTGCTGCAAACGTCCGGATTTCACTCGTTCCACGGCCGAGTCTTATTCCACTGTGGGACGCCTTGCTTCGGGCCCCATTCGACTCGGTTGATGATGACAGCGATGCGAGCTGCGCCGCAGGAACGCGGGCGCGCAGGTGTCTAAGGGTCTCCTCTCCGTTAGCTCCTCCCCTGTGCCCGACCTGCGCTAGGAGAAGGGAGCAGTGGGGGTCTGGACCTGGAGGGGTGGTGCAGCCCAGGATCCCCTCTCTGTCCCACACTGTTGTGGACAGGTGAGCCAAGGAGCCGCCCACGCACTCAGGGAGTTGCCACCGTCGAGAACTAAACCAGGAAGCGGGCGTGGTACTAAGGGTTCGAGGGGCCAGGTGGGGCTGAAGGGGAGCTGCGGTGTAGAGAGAATGTTCATGGACCGGAAATGCCAGACGCACACTTCCGGAAACCCGGGATCCTCGGGCGTGCATATAAAGACCCCAGTCCCCTCTGCCGGATAGCTACAGTATCAGACGCGCTCTTCCGGAGACCCCCACACACTATCTTTAGGAACCACAAAAGTTCTCTTCCGGAAACCCGGGAATCTCGGGTGCTCTCTGGAGACCCCACACACCAACTTCATGAAATTAAGAGACCCTGCACTTCTCTTCCGGAAACCCCAGACGTGCTGCTCCGGAAAGCAGGGGGCCTAGACGCCCCCTCCAGATACAGCAGGTTGGCCGCCCTGGGGGTAGAGCTAGAGTGAAGGCTGGGCCAGAGCAGGTGCATTGCGCTCCACTTCTCAGGTGTGGGTTGACGTAGACTTCCTTCCACACAGAATGTGCCGGGAGGAAGGGTGAGGCTCCCTTGGGAACCAGGTGCCCCAGATCCGCAGCAGCAGCCAGGCTCCTGCATCCTCTGGGTCCCTGCTGGGCTGTGCTGGGGACAGCTCTTTTCTGGCATCTTCTGCATAGTGACCCATCACCCAGTCCTGTCACACAGCTTCCCAGGGCAGGGTGTCCTTGAAGGTCTTGCAAATGTTCTTGAAAATTGTCATCAAGGTCAACACCAACAAGGGAATTGAAGGGCCTAAAGAGACAGAGAGAACCAGAGGCAGTGTGAGATCCTGGAGAAGATAAAGGATTAGGTTCCAACACAGGAAATCTAAATAAACCATGGACTAGTTGAGCTAAGGGTGCTGGGAAGAAATGAGCCATATTAACCTACAATGCTAACAGGGAGCTGGGTGAAGGGTCTATAGCAACTCCATGTGGTAACTTCTCATTTGTTCCCTAAAACCATTCTTGAAGTCTATTAAAAATCAGGTAAAATTCCCACATGAGGGCTGAAGACCCTGGATGTCTCCTCACCCAGCACCACCAACTCTAGGGCAACACTGGGGGCTGCCCAGGTGACGCTCCCTCTGTCGATACTGGTACACCCTGCAGTGTGGCATCCTGTGAATCCTACTCTGTCGGCACTGATAACACCATGTAGTGTTGTGATTGTGCGAGTCCTCCCTATGTCACACTGGGAACACCCTGCAGTGTTGTATTCATGGGAATCCTCCATCTGTCTGTACTGGGAACACCCTGCATGGTTGTATCCGTGGAAGTCCTTTCTATGTCCCATGGTAACACCCTGCAGTGCTGTATCCATGGTAGTCCTGATGAATCAGCCTCCTTCTGCAACCCCAGTTCCTTCTCCACCACCTCGTGTGTGGCTTCCCAGGATCTCCAGATGGGGCGAGGTAGATACAGAGGTTTCCTGCCACGGGGTCTTCACACACCCACTCAAGGCAATTGGTGAACCTAGTATGGCAGATATGATAGGACTGGCAATATCCCTTAGAAAAAATGCAGCCTAGACTTCGATGGACTGTCAGAGAGACACCATTTTTCCCTGTTCTTGGGGGGTGGGGCAGAAATAAATTAAGATGAAAAGCCTATCATTTTCTTTTGAAATACTTATAATTTTATTTGATAGGGGAAGAGAGAGGGAGAGATCTTTTCTTTGCTGGTTCACCCCCCAAATGCTGGCAATAGCCAGGGCTGTGCTACGCAGTCAGGAGCCTGGAGCTGCAGCCAATCTCCCTCCTGGGGCAGGAACCAAGCACTGAGCCACTGCCTGTCTCCTAGGTGTGCAGTAATGGAAGCCACCTCAGAGGCAGATCTGGACCTAACCCAGGCACTCAGCTGTGGCATTGAGGCATTCAATCAGGGACTTAACTGCTGTACCAACTCCCACCTTATAATTCTGTTCTCAAAAAGTGTTAATGAAACCCAGTCATTTGTGGAGAAATGGCTGGGACTGGAGAACATTAAGTGAAATACGCCTTCCCAGGAATCCAGTGTAAGTTCTCTCTTCCACGCGGAAGTTGGAAAATTTGATCTTATAGTAGTAGAGTAGGATGATGACCACTATTGCTGAAAAGGGTCTGGGGGAGAGATGAGGGAGGTTTGGTCCCCGGGTCCCAAGGTGGAGTCAGATAGAGGAACGGCTCTGTCTGCACAGCACAGGAGGCACCCATGGCTCACATAACCTGTTGAGTGTTTCCACAAAGAACTCGAGGAGAGGAGCTGGGGCCCAAACACAAGACATGACGAGATGGGAACACCCTGGTGTGATCAGCACACCTTCAAATCCCACGCTGCACCTCCCAAATTATTATGTGTTCATTTAAAGGGAAAAATAGGTGGCAAATATGTTTTTGGTGTTTGTGTCTTCCTCCTTTGTCGAGCTGAAATTCACAGAGCACAGATTACAGACCTGACAGAAATTTAACTCACTGCTGTAGCTACCTCTCACGTTCACTGTGTCGTGTACCCACCAGCACCTGTCACAAACATCTTCATTAGCAGAGAGAGAAACCCCAGACCAACTCAGCAGGAGCCTGCACGCTCCCTCCCCACACCCGAGTCCACGTTCTGCCCTCTGAATCCGCACCCCCGGGCACCTCTCAGAGCAGAATCAGACCAGGTGTCTTTGTGACACCGGCTGATTTCTGTATTGTCATATCTTCAGGGTTTCTCCACGATTATCCAGACCCTCCTTCTTTTCTAACAGGAGAGTGTCAGCCGTGTCTACAAACACCGCCTGTTGTGGACGCACTCACCTGTTGTGCTTCTTCTGGTTGCTGGCATCTTTGGGCTCATGTGAATGAGGCTGCTCTGAACCCGTGGATGCAAACACCTGCTTGGGTTCCTGCTTCAGTCCCTGTGGTTATATGTGCAGGAGGGGAACTGATGGATTGTCAGGCACTGATGAGAAACAATGTTTTCCTTCTTTAGTGTGCCGAAATTCAAATAACATTAAACCAGCCCTTTAAAGTATATACTGTGCTGACTTACTACATTAACAATGTTGTACACCAATAACTCTTTAAAAATATGTTTTATTTATTTGAAAGAGTTACGGAGCTAGATAGAGAAGAGAGAGAGAGAGAGAGAGAGAGAGAGAGAGAGAGAGGTCTTCCATCTGCTGGTTCACTCCCCAAGTGGCCACAAAGTGCAGAGCCAGGGCTATCTGGGGCCAGGAACCAGGATCTTCTCCCCATCCCCCCTGCGGGTGCAGGGACCAGGGACTTGGACCACCTTCTGCTGCTCTCCCAGGTGCATTAGCAGGGAGCGGGAGCGGATGTGGAGCAGCTGGGACTCCAACCCTGGCCCCTATGGGATGGCAGCCCTGCAGGCTGGGATTGAACCTGCACTGCCACAGTGCCGGCCCCACATGAACTCTTCTAGCTCCATGGTCATCCCCCCAAATGCCCACACTCACTAAGCTGCTCCCAGTCCCTCCTCGTCCCTAAGGCACTGCTTGGCCTCCATGGAGTTTGGAGTTCTGCTTCCCCGGGAATCCCTCCCCATGCCCGACTCTGCTCTGCACTCTCAGAGGGCGGGGCTGGTGCTTGGAGAACCCTCGCCACTCGCTCAGTACCACAGCTGAGACCACGCAAGCCCGGGCTGGAAGCTGGGGACATCTCAGTCCAGACTCTGAGCTTTCTACTCGGCAAGGGGGGAGCGCCCAGTCCTGGCACAGTCAGAACCACTAACACAGGGCCTGCACAAGTGTGATTCGCGCTTTGGGACAGGACAGAGGGTGGGGCGTGGGGACGGCACAGTTCCAGGAGCAGGATTCAGCCCGGGCTGCGGGAGGCCAGGAGGCAAGCAAGCAGCCTGGATTGAGTCATTCAAGCCGCCAGCCCTGAACAGGGACGCTGCGTCTGGAAGCCCTCTGTTCTCAGCTGGACCCCGACCCAGGGGAGGCGCCCACCTCACGCTGCCTCCCCTTATCCACGTGCTTCTCTGTTAGCCCCTTAGCACCGAGCCCGACTGAGCTCTGTGCAGAGACCGAGGGCAGTGTGCCACGTGCCCCAGGACGGTTGGGAGGCAGACACACCTGGTGCAGGTGGGCCGACGGAGCCGACTTTATCCATAGAAGCAGGGGAGGACTCCTTGTACTTGGTGCCGTCACCCTGACTAGGAAGTAGCACTGCCTTCACGCGGCAGGAACCCGAGGTGCACAGCGGGGCCCTGACGGAGGAGCCCCCGGCACCCGGCAGGCAGCTGGGGGCGTCTCTTCCCAGCCCGCATCACAGACCTCACAGGGCTCCTGGAGGGTGGCCGTATGACGGCTAGCGGCACCCCCACAGAAAGCATGCTTGTTTCAGAGCGGCCGCTAAGCAGTGCCCAGACGCCCGCCCATCAGTCTCCCGGGCACCGGTTCCCGTGTGACCCTTCTGAGCCCCCACACGCAAGGCGTCCCAAGCCCAGGGAAGGACTCGGGGCCTGAGAGGCCGTGAGCGTCCCGTATGGGATGGACCTCGCCCACCCTGAAATCCGATTTCGCTCGTTTATTCTGTTACTTGGCGCAAGCTCCGTGTTCTTGGCTGGAAACGCGGATTCTCACGCATGCGCACTGGGAACTGCATTCACCAGAAACAGAGAAAAGGCTCCGTGAGAGTAGAGCAAGGCGGGAGGCGGGTGCGGGTCTACATGCGGCCTGCAGGTGGCGCTGTCCCACCGGAGAGCCAGGCGGGATAGGACACAGCCACAGGGCAGAAGTCCACAGCTGAATAGAGAGCCCCTGAGGCCCCCAGACAGCTCCCAGCACCCACACTAGGGGGGACAGTTCCCCACTGTGCACCCGACTCCCCCCTCCCCGCCCCCAGGGAGCGGCCTCTGACCCAGGCTGTCCTCTCTCCAGGTCACTGCTGGCCTGCAGCCCGGGTCCTCTTGTGGCTGTACCAAGCATCTGCCAGCAGAAGCCCAATGCCCAGCAGGACCAAGCCGGCCACGCCTATGCGGATGAGGTTCTCCAGGGTGTGGTCCTCGGGCGCTGGGGCTGGGGGCGTGCACGGAGGGGTCACCTAGGCTGGCTCACCGGAGTCCACCTCCCCGCAGCAGCCTGAGCCCTGGGTCCAGCCTGTAGCTCACTCACCAGTGGGGGAGCCTGACTGGGGGTGCGAGGGGCTGCTGGGCTCCGGTCCTCCTGAGAACAGGGATGGGACGGTGAGGAGGAGAAGACCCCACCCTCCCCATGCACTCAGCACTGAGCACCCGGGCCCACAGCTGGCGGGGGCCATCAGGGGCTCCTGAGTGTCAGAGACACAGAGGGGCAACGTCCAGGGCAGCCTCCCCTCCCCCACACCTCAGCCTGTGCACCTGCTGCTCCGCCCTCTTTATCTGTGGTCAACTAAGTCTTCATTATCTTGACACAGCCACCATGGGACACACACACACACACACACACACACACACACGTGTTTCCTAAGCGGTGGTGCTCCACTGTGTTCCACAATCAGTATTCCTAAGTGAGCAGACCTGGAACAACCAGGTCACAGTGTAGACCTCGGTGACTATCGGTAGTTACAAGCTCAGGGACACAACTCACAGTGAACATGGACACAGACAGCACACATCACAGTGGGCACTGTGCAGGGACGCAGCTACAGACGTGCGCACACTGAAACAGGCCAGGCTGCCCAGGGATCGGGAAGCCAGGAAGTGAGATTTCCCTTCCCTCTGGGCTGATGGGAACTTTGTCAGGAAATCAGAGCCCAACCAGGGTCGGGGGAAGGAGTCCCCACAGGAACAAACGCTCCACTGCTGCTCCTCCACTGAGCTGCTCTTCAGGAGAATAAGGGGCCCAGACCTCCCTGAGGGTTGTCACAGGGGGCGGGCCTTGGGAGCCATTGCACCTGCAGGTCCCCACCCCTCCCCGGATGAGGGCGCAGTATGGGCAGGACTGGGCCTGGCTCTGCCAGTTCTGACCTGAGGCGCAGGGCAGGGAGGGCGCCCCTGCGTCCAGGTGCCCTTGTGAGTGGGAAACAGCACCGTGCACTGAGCACTGCTGTGCCCCAGGCACGCGCTGGGTCTCTGCATTCACCCCCTGAGCTGCCACCACCTCACAGCCCACACGGCCACCCCTCCCCTCTCCCCAGGGACCTGGACCCGGAGGAGTCCCCGCCAGGGGCCAGGTGACCCAGGGCTGCACACCTTTGTGTCTAGGGAGTCCCCTCGCCCTTGTGGGCTCCATGAGAGGCCTGTGCACCCAGCCCAGTTCCCTTCTCAACTCTAGGGCCCCTGATCCATCCACTCCACTGCCCACCCAAACCCCATACCACAGAGGGTGACCTGGGCCCCGGAGCTGGAGACCTCTGCTGCTCCCTGCTCCCTGGTGACCTCCCCTGGGGCCCCTCCCCAGCCCAGCCCTCTCCTGGGGACAGCCCTGCACTGACCAGGACCACCGTGGGGACAGGGCTGGGCCCCTCACCTGTAACATGGAGCTCCAGGGGGTCGCTGGGCAGGGACCACACATGGTGCTCCACAGTATCAGCGCGGTAGCACCTGTAGATGCCCCCGTGGGTGCTGTCCACGGGGCCCAGGAGGAAGGTGGCCTGCCACACCCCAGCAACTTGGGAGAACCTGGCTTTCATGCTGTGCAGGGGGCCGGCTCCGCCCTCCTTCAGCAGATGGGCAGTGCCCACCCTATGTGAGCCACAGGAGAGGGACACGTGCCCTCCTGACGCCACCACGGGGCTTGGCTGGGCTGACAGGGAGGGCCCCGGGAACATCCCTGCAGGGGAGGGCAGAGCCGTGTTGGGGGGCTGCCACCCCGTGCACCCACTTGGCTTCTTTCTGTGAGCTGGAGCCTCTCTGGGCAGGAACACCCCCTTACCTGTCAGCACCAGGGTCAGGGGGTCACTGGGCTGGGAGAGGCCGAGCAGGGTCCGATACACACACCAGTACTGCCCTGTGTGGTAGGAGCTCATGGACATGGTGATGGGGAAGTCAGCCTTGTGTCTGGAGTCCTGTTGGGCCCACATTTCCCAGGGCAGAGGGCTGCCCTCTTTATACACACGATACACCTCAGCCTGCAGAGACCCCTGGCACCAGAGGGTCACAGGGCTCCCCACGGCGACCAGGGGGCCTGGGTCGGCCCAGATGGAGGGCTTGGGGAGGGCCCCTGGAAGGGAATCAGAGCTGCAGACCCCAGGATGCCGCCCCTCCCCGACCCCATTCCCCAGCTCCACTCCCAGCCCCTCCCAGCCATCACCATCAGCCTATCCCCACTGGGCTCCTTAACCCTGAGATGCCTGGGCCCCCGGGCTGAGCCAGGTCAGGGGAGGACTCACCCGCCTGTGCCCCATCCCCTGACACCCGGCACAGCCCTGGAAGAGAAGTCCCCGTGAGAGCTGCTCCCCACTCCCCACCCCTGCAGAGATGCCCAGGCCTGCCCTGGTCCTCTGAGCCCTGGGGTCCCAGCTGGGGCAAGGCACTGTCCCCCCCCACCTGTGAGGGGTCCCCGTGTCCCTGGCTCACCCAGGCAGAGGAGGGCAGTGAGGGCCGGGGTCTGCGCCCCGGCGCCCATGGTCCCTGTGGAGCAGAGCAGCTGTGAGGGGCGCAGGCCCAGAGCCCGGCTGGAGATGAGCGGGGAAACGTCACGGGTTCCTCATCTGTGGCCTCACAGGAAGGGAGCAGCCCCTCCCCTGCTGTCCCTGAGGACGGGGCCCAGGACAGAAAAGGCTTTGGGGACCATGGGACCAGGCCTCCACCACCGCTGCCCCCTGCGCTGTGCCTGCCTGGCCTCTGCCCCCCCTACCCACTCCAGTTCCACCCAGGGGGTGCCCCTCATGGGCGGGGCCCAGGAGCTGCCGGGTTAGGGTTCTGGTTCTCCCTGCACAGGCCGGGTGGCCGAGACACGCACTTCCCCTTCCTGAGCTGCTGAGTGCAGTTGTGGGGGCTGGGGTGGGGGAGGGGAGAGGAGTGGGGAGGGCTGGAGCCTGTGGGGAGGGTGACGGAATCTTCCAGGCCTTTGGCGCTGACAGGAGGGCATGAAGAAGGTACAGACGCTGCAGAGGTGTGGCTGAGCTGCAGCCCAGCTGTGGCTGTGGCAGGTGCAGGAGGGCCCACAAAGAGGACCCGGCTTTGGGGCGGGGTCCTGCTGAGGGCTGGTGGGCCCAGGGCCTGGCAAGCAGCTGTGAGGAGGGGAGGGTGTCTGAGGGCAGAGGCCCCGAGCTACCCTAGGAACTGAGAATATGGTGGTGCCCTGACCAGCCCAGCCGGGGTCCAGTGCCGCACACCCTGTGCTGCCTGCACTGTACCGGGTTTCTCAGTAGGTAGAGGGGACTGGGAGCAGGGCACTGGGCCCGTGTGCAGAAACACACTCACGTGGGGCTGGGGATTCCCGGCACCTGCTTCCTGAGCCCCCCACGGCCTCTCCTCCCCTGATCTGAGCACCTGGGCTCTGTGCTCCTGGATGACATGGGGGTGCCGCTTCCTGAGCGACCTGAACAGGTGACGTCATCCCCCAGCGTCTCTGTAGTAGGGATGCCCGAGACCTCCCCTCTGGGTGGCCGTGGCTGCAGCACTCCAGTCTCAGGGTCCTGCAGTGTCCCTTCCAGATTCAGACGTGGGGACAGCACCGTTCTGGTAGGGGCCGCTCCTCAGAAGTCCCTAGGAGCGCCCGCTGACCCCAGAGGTGAATCAGAAGCGGTCCCGGGTCCCAGACAGAATGGAAGACCCCATCCTCAGCCGTGTTTGGGGTGGAGGTCAGAGGGCAGGCTCTCAGCTGCCTGCTCTGGGGTGGGGACCCAGGAGAGAACTATGGCGGCTCATCACAGCCTCTGGTTACAAAGGCACCCGCAGGCATCTGTCCTTTCCTTAGCCTGCATCAGGTTGAGAGGAAGTCCCCCTCCCAGAAACAGGAGCTGGCAAAGCGTGCACTCAGTGGCGTTCACGGTAAAGCCCCAGACATTCAATGACCTGCTCTGGCCTCACCCCAGGAGGAAGCCCCACACCATGCAGCCATCAGCCCCGCCAGCCCTGCCCAGCCCCAGGGCTTTGTGGGCTCCCAGCCCTGGGTGTTTCTGGGAATCATGCTATGTGGGGCCGTTTGTGTGTGGCTGCACCTCCTGCCACACGCATCGTCACTTTACAGCTTCCTGGGGCTCTGCAGAGTTCCCACGGAGCCAGGGACCCACCACCCCGAGCCCCGCATCCCCGGTGCACATCTGGCTCCTGTCCCTGGCCGGCCGTGCTTGGATGGATGCCTGTGTGCACAGTCCCTGGATGGTTGTCAGAGCCTCCCCCTGGGCCCTCGGTGGTGAGAACGCTCCACAGAGCCTGCACTCAGTACACTGGTGGGCGCTGCACCTGACTCTGACCCTTGCCAGGATGTGGGTCAATGGGAGTGCCTGACTCCATGCAGGGGGTGGGCTGCTCCGTGCTGTGCCAAGGCTGGGTGTGGTGCTTTGAGGAACTCTGAGCCTCTTGCCGCAGTGGCCGAACCCTGTACATTCCAGCCGCGTCTCAGGGCTGCGATTTCCCCACACCCTGACCACACTCTGCCTGCTTTGTCTTCGAGAATTGACCAGTGTGGTGGGCGTGGGGGTGCCTCTCTGTGGCATTATTTTCACTTCCCTTCTCTTCCACTGTGTTGCACCCTTGCTTTTCCTACTGTGGCTTCCAGATCTTTACACCATGTGTTCGTTGTCTTTCTGTTCCCTTGATAGCTGTCCATGGTGCACAGACTTCTGAAGTTTTGGGGATGATCAATTCAGCCATTTTCCCATTTGTTCCTTGTACTTTCGGAATCACAGCTTAGACACTGTGATGAAGTCTGAGGTCATATTTACCCAGGTATTTCCTTCTAGGAGTGCTTAAAATTTTTTTAAAGACTGATTTATTTATCTCAGAGGGAGAGATGGAGAGAGAGGAGAATCAGAGGCAGAGGTTTCCCATCCAATGGCTCGCTCCCCATATGGCTGGGTGAGGCTGAAGCCAGGAGCCAGGCAGGAGCTTCTGGGTCTCCCATGTGGGTGCAAGGGACCCAAGCACTTGGGTCGTTCTCTACTGCTTTCCCAGGCGCATTAGCAGGGAGCTGGATCAGAAGTGGAGCAGCCGGGACTCCAACTTGGCCATACCATATGTGATGCCGGCACTGCTGGTGTTGGCTTTACTCCCTAAGCTATGCTGTGGTGGGGTGGAGTCCCCAGCCCATAACTGGAAACACGGGAGAAGTATCCAGGCGCACCCTCCACCCGCCTCACTGAACTCTGTGGGAAACGCAGACTTGCACCGCACAGACAAGCAGAGTAATCAGCCATCAGAGGAAGCCGGGCAGGCATCCGCACTCTTCCAGAACACCGGGTGCTGCCGTCCGCCAGAGCCAACCGTGTTGTGGGGTTTATGTTAGGTGAGCACTTGAGAAATCCAGGTGACCTTGAACGTTCCGTGCCGGAAGAAACCCTGCACACACTTTCAGTCTTTCTCTTCTGAGTCGTCCTCTTGGAGGGCGGAGTCCCATGGTCATCTGGGATTTTACCTTAGAGTTTGATGAGCCACAAGTTTTTTAAAATATTTATTTGAAAGTCAGAGTTACAGAGAGAAGGAGCGAGAGAGGTATCCATCTGCTGGTTCAGTCCCAATGGGCCCTCACAGCCGGAGCTCGGCTGATCCCCAGCCAGGAGCCCCGAGTTTCATCTGAGTGTCCCACATGGATGCAGGGGCTCAAGGACTTGGGCCATCTTCTGCTGCTTTCCCAGGCCATAGCAGAGAGCTGGATCAGAAGTGGAGCAGCTGAGTGTCGAACCGGTGCCCACAGGGGATGCCGGCACCGCAGGTGGCAGCTTTTACCCACTACACCACAGAGCCAGCCCAGATCCATTAATTGTGACCTCCCATATCTGACCCCACGTGTCATCGCCTCCTTTTGGTGAGTGGAATGGTAAATCCATCTTGAGTGACAGGTGTCCCGCCCACGTCCTGCCCACTTGCTGAAGGTCAAGGGGAGCGAATCCCGGCGTCGCCCTATCGATGGGCCGTTCGACCCCGCTCCTGTGGACACTCAGGGCCACTGAGCTGTGTGCGGTCCCTGGAGAGGAACAGGACAGAACCGCACGGGAGCCTGCAGGGCAGTGGGCAGGGCTGCGGGAGGCCAGGGCCCCTTCCCAGAATGCGCGTGGGAGCCCGGGGAAGCAGCACCGCCAGTGGCCCACCCGGGTTCCTGCCCCTGAGCAGGATTCCTGCAACCCCAGGTGAGCTCCGCCCACTTCCCAAGGCTTCTCACCACTCATGTCCGGCCTCCCGCCTCCCCCGCCCCCGGGGCACAGCCTCTCTGACCCAGCGCTGTCCTCTCTCCAGGTCATCGCTGGCCTGCAGCCCGGGTCCTTCTCTGGCTGTACCAAGCCTCCGCCAGCAGAGGTCCAGCAGGACCAAGCCCGCCACGCCCATGCTGATGAGGTTCTCCAGGGTGTGGTCCTGGGGCGCTGGGGCTGGGGGTGTGCACAGAGGGGTCACCGAGGCCGGGACAGACCCAGTCACCCGAGCCCCACCTCCATGCAGCTGCCTGAGCCCTGAGTCCAGCCTGTAGCTCACTCACCAGCGGGGGAGCCTGGCTGGGGGTGCGAGGGGCTGCTGGGCTCCGGTCCCCCTGAGAACAGGGACGGGATAGTGAGGAGAAGGAGACCCCGGCCTGGTCCATACTCAGTGCTTCCCGGCCCCCATGTCTCGCGACGCAGCTCAGCATGGCTCTTGGGTGAGCTGCCTCCGGGTCTCTGTCGGGCTGCCCTGTGCTCCGGGGCCGCAACGGAGCTCTGCAGGGGCCGGGCCGCGCAGCACCCACAGCCTGGCGAGCTTCTCCCTACAGGAGCAGGTCCGGGGCCCACCCTGGGCCACGGCGAGGGCACACTGCCCTGAGCAGACTCAGTCCTGGTCTAGAGGCCTACAGAGCCCCCAGGGTGTGAGGCCAGTCCTGTGCGGGTCCTGTCCAGTGCTGCATCTACTCTGGCCCCTGTGGGAGCCCGGGCTGGGGCAGCCGGCCAGGGTGCTGGCAGACCCCGAGTCCCTGTGTGACCCCGTCAGGCCCTCTGCAGGGACCACTGAGGGCCTGCTGGGTCAGGAGGGAAGAGGGGCGGGGCTGCACCCTGGCTCTGCCCACACCCTTCTCCCTCCTGCCCTGCAGTCCCACCGCCCTCACTCTGGGTGTCTGGCCCAGGAGCCCAGGCCCCGCACCCAATTCCCATCTACGCCTCCTCTCAGTGTCTCCGTGACCTACCCAGCTCCTGCTCAGGTGTGGCTTCCTCACTGTCACCCCAGCTCCAGGGCGGCACTGGGCTCTGAGCAGCCAGCAGCGCTGAGGCAGACACAGCGGTAGCGCCCCGCGTACACCTCGGCCATGAGAGGGTGGAGAACTTGGCCTTGTTTCCTGGCTCCAGGGGCATCTGTCTGTCCCAGGGCTCTGGGATTCCCTCTCTATACAGAGGGCACTCCTGGGCCTCCAGGGTCCCCAACACCACAGGGCCCCAGGCCTGCCCAGGGCGATCACAGAGCCTGGCTCAGCCCGGAGGCTGGGTCTGGGGAGGGTCCCTGGAAGGAAACCAGAGGCTGGGTCCCAGGACCACGTCCCCTCTCAGGCCAGGACCCTCCCAGATGCCCTCCTCACCAGACAGGGCTGCTGTCCCCACCCAGGCTGCCCAGGGTGGCCCATGTCCCATGGGGGGGGGACCCGGCACAGTGGGGGGCACGCTCACTTGCCTGCACTCGGGTCCTGGGCCCGCACAGCCCTGGAGGAGAGCTCCCCGTGAGAGGGTTGCCCCTGCCCCTGCGCAGGTCCTCTCCACCCCGGGACTCCTGAGCCTGGGGTCTCCAGGGAGCAGGGCCTGGCTGTTGGTGGGGGCGGGGTCCCTCCCAGAGCAGGGTCTCCCCTCCCCGTCTTCCTGTCTCCCCCAGGCAGAGCAGGACCACGAGGGCGGGGTCATGGCGTCCTCTCCGCCAGCCCCGGCACAGCGCCCGCGGCACGGACACACACCGGGTGTGGGCGCTTGGAGGCCGGGTCCTCCCAGCATCGCAGGGCTGTTCCGCCCGCAGCCCCACAGGAATGGGCACCGCCCCCACCCCAGCCAGGCCCTCAGTCCCCAGGATGGGGAGGGCACAGGCTCCCTGCAGGGATGGGGGCCCCGCCCCCGCCCTGTCAGCCGGCTCCGCCCTCCTCTCCCAGGGCCAGGACCCAGCACCAAGGACACGGGGCCTCCCTAGTGGCCCTCCTAGTGGGCTGACTCCTGCCCCGGGGTGTCTTGTCTCCGCCTTCAGTTGCTGTGCACACAGCATGCAGGATCCCAGCCCCAGGCACATTTCCCGCCAGATGTTTCGCAAGGGCCAACTTCCTTCCTGCCGTGTCTGGGCACCACGTCCCCAGCGGGCACAGGGCGCCTGCACGTGTAGCCGTGTGCCAGGCGTGACATTTCATGGCTGAAACTGACAGGATCCTTCCTGGAATTCCCGGGCCCAAGACTCCTGCAGGGAGCTGTGACAAATACTCGGGTGGTGGGGGCTGGCGCTGTGGCGTAGTGCGCTGGCATCCCATATGGGCACAGCTTCCTGGTCCAGAGCTGCTCTTCCGACCCCGCCCCCTGCCATGGCCGGGGAAGCAGTGGAAGGTGACCCCAGTGCTTGGGCCCTGCCCCAGAAGCAGCTCCAGGCTCCTGGCTTTGGATCGGCCCAGCTCCGGCCGTTGCAGCCATTTAGGGGGTGAACCAGCGGATGGAAGACCTTCCTCTCTGCCTCTCTCTAACTCTGCCTTCCAAACACATCTTTAACAAAACAGATTCAGATGGTGGAGAACCCTCCTACGGTTTTGTAGGTTGCTGTGTCGGAGAAAGAGGGGCCTGGATCCACAAGAACAGGTGAGTGTGGGGGAGGGGCTTCCTGGGGGGGGAGCGGCCACAGGAGCCTGGCCGCATCCAGGGATGAGCTGCTTGGAGCCCCAGTGTCCCTGCCCGGCAGGCATCTCTGGGCTCTCAGGGGCGCTGAGACAGGAGCGGGCAGTGGGCAGTGGGCAGTGGGCAGCCTGGGGCTGAAGCTTCCACAGTCAGTTATGGTGGGAGGTGGGTGGGCGGCTGGGGGAAGCAGCTGGGGTCCGAGGGCCCCAACCCAACCGCTGCTGGCCAGCTCCAAGCCACAGGCTGCCTGCCGCCTGGCCGCTCGGGCCAGGCCTGCACAAGCAGCTCCCGAGCCACCAGGCGCTGCCTTCCTACGGGGAAACCACAAGTTCCACGATGTTGCACAGGCAGAACTGGGCCAGCTGGAAACAGCCAGGAGGGCCGCCTGAGGGGACCCCCGGGACGACCATGGGGTCCTCCCACGAAATTCCTGTGTGGGGGGATCCTCTCACTCCCATCATGCACCTCGACTCCCTGACACTTCTGGCTTTTTCCAAAAGAGGGCCTGGAAATGGGTGGTGCTCTAGCCCCGCCCCAAACTCCACCCACTTTGAATATTCAATCGAGCCACACCCCAGAATGAGCCCTATGCCTCTGGCTGGGGGATGGGCGTGGGGATGGGAGTGGGTGAGGACGCTTTTTCTCCCTAGGGCCATCTGGATTTTGGCAGCATCATTCCGGGCCCTACCTGATTATCAGCCTGCTGCAGACTCACTGGAATTTGAATCTTGACCCCACGTGGAGGCCGTGGCAGGGCCCGACCACGGGACTTCCTGGTCTCCCGTGGCCTGTGGGCCAGGCGCTCCCCGCCCTGGATGACCTGGATCGCTGAGGCCCCCATGGAGGGTTTTCTCTATGGCGTGTGTGTTGTGCCCCTGTACTCACCTCTTTCTCTCGCTCCACCTGGCCTGATTCCTGGGGTGCACTCACGAACCCTGCGTTCCTGCACCCCTCGAGGTCTCCACGTGCATCCTTCCGTGCATCAGGGGAGGAAGCAGCCGTGAGTCCAGTCCGGGGACCCTGCTGCCTGCCCTGCACGGAGCCGCCCGTGAGGGGGCTGCCAGCACCCCCACTGTTCACGTGGGCCCTGGGCGTGGCTGTGGTTGGGTTTGCTATGGGGGCGGGGACACGCGTGTGGGGGCTGCATCACCAGCAACGAGGGGCAGAGACACTGGTGTCTCCGCTGGGGTGGAGCTGTCTGGCGGGGTTCACGGGTGAAGCAGGTGTGAGTGAGGGGCCCCTGCCTGCCTTGCTCCACGCAGGGGTCCACGGGGCCCCCGAGGAGGGGACCCTGGGCGGTGCTGCTATGACAGCCACGGACTCAGAGGGTGTGGCGTGTGGTTTGGTTTCTCCCAGCCCCCTCCCTCTGACCTCCTCAGCGCCTCCTCCTCCTCCCTCCATCGCCACCTCCCAGTCTTTTCTGCCCCTCAGTGCCTCTCCTGCCCTGCCCACGGCTCTGCTCTGGCTCCCTGGGCTCCTTCTCCAGGTCTGGGTGATAACGTTCGAGAGGGACACACAGGTTTGCAGCTGGCCGTGGGGGTGACGTTCCCAACCGCGAGCCTGAACAGGTGCAGGCCCTCCCCGGTGTCTTCAACACAAGGAGGCTGTGATTGTAGGACACAGAGCTCCCGGGGCTCAGTGAGTCACCAGCACTTTGGTTTTTTTAAGATTTATTTATTTACTTGAAAGTCAGAGCTACACAGAGAGAGGAGAGGTGGAGAGAGGAGAGAGAGAGAGAGAGAGAGAGAGAGAGAGAGGTCTTCCATCTGCTGGTTCACTCCCCACATGGCTGCAATGGCTGGAGCTGTGCTGACTTGGAGCCAGGAGCCAGGAGCTTCCTCCAGGCCTGCCCTGCAGGTGCAGGGGCCCAAGCACTTGGGCCATCTTCCACTGCTTTCCCAGGCCACAGCAGAGAGCTGGATCGGAAGTAGAGCAGCTGGGTCTCCAGAGCCCACACGGGATGCCGGCACTGCGGGCTGCAGCTTTACCCACTATGCCACAGCGCCAGCCCCTGTGCCCAGCAAGGTTGTCCATCAGGGATACACAAGCGATAAAGGGTTTCCCGGGTGAAAGCGAGGGAGCGAGCACATCACACTAGACCTGGCCTGCGCGGGGAGTGAGCGGGAGTCGGGGCAGCAGGACGAGAGCGCTGGCTGGGGCTGGTGCGCAGGTTAGGCTGCCGCTTCCACTGGCGGCGGCCCTCGTCACTTCCACTGGCGGCGGCCCTCGTCACTTCCACTGGCGGCGGCCCACGTCACTTCCACGGGCGGCGGCCCACGTCACTTCCACTGGCGGCGGCCCACGTCAGAGGGCCGGTTTGAGTCTCCGTGCAACGGGACCGAATACATCCATGTTTTCCTTGCCGCATCCTGAGGCTCGCTGATGCTGATGTGTATAAACAGAGAAGGCCTGCTTGGGACTCCAGGATCCGGCCTGCAGAGAGCCGGCTGCAGAAGCTGCGGGATCTGGCCATAGCTCCCGGTCAGTGAGGCTGCGGTCCCAACGTGTCGGAACAAAACGCAAAGGGGTGAGCCAGGAAGGGCTCCAGGCTGGGAGGGCTTCGTCCCCACAGCCGGAACCTGGGATCTCCTCGCTCGGTTCTTTGCGTCTCTCTGCTCTCAGCCAAGCCCACAAGCAAGATTCCTGGCAGCTGCGCTGGCGCCTGAGACGGCCCTGTGGTCAGCCCCAGCCCAGCCACGCAGGAAGGCATCAGTAAGACGTCAGTCTCCCGTCGCCCTCATCTGATGACAGATTAAACTCTTCTTCCTTTACCCTCAACTCTTGCTCATGATTTTGACTTAGCACAGCGGACAGGGACCAAGCCTTTGGGAACACCGGCTGCTCCATTTCCCACCCAGCTCCCTGCTAATGTGCCTGGGAAGGCGGCAGCAGACGGCCCAGTGCCTGGGTCCCTGTGCCCTCGTGGGGCCCTTGCATGGGGCTCCAGGCTCGGCCGTTGCAGCCTCTGGGGCGTGAACCAGCAGATGGAAGATCTTTCTGTCTCTTTCTCCCTCTCTCTGTCACTCTGAATTCAAATAAAAAGAAATAAATAAATATTTTGTCATAAAAACAGAATACATGCAATATGAAAACTAGAAGGTATGGAGCGCACCGCAAAGGTGAAATGCAGTCAGCTTGGGAACACCCTGACCGTGCATCACGGTGCCGGTACCGCTCTTACCTGGAACTACAAGTAAACAGACGAAAGTGCTGAAAAGTGACTGCAGCTGTTGTGTTTGTTAATGGGACACAATATTTTCTTTAAACATCACAGCAACTGCCCTTTTTTCTATTTACTTATTTGTTTACTTGAAAGAGATACACAGAGAGAGAAAGAGAAGCGCAGAGAGAGAGAGAGAGAGAGAGAGAGAGAGAGAGAGGTCTTCTGTCTGATGGTTCACTCCCCAGTTGGCCGCAAGAGCTGGAGCCGCACCAATCTGAAGCCAGGAGCCAGAGCTTCCTCCAGGTCTCCCACGTGGGTGCAGGGGCCCAAGCACTTGGGCCATCTTCCACTGCTTTCCCAGGCCATAGCAGAGAGCTGGATGGGAAGTGGAGCAGCCGAGACTCAAACCGGCGCCCACATGGGATGTCGGTGCTGCAGGCAGCGGCTTTACCTGCTGAGCCACAGCGCTGACCCCAACACAATACATTAAACATTCAAGTTGTGACAGCAGTAGCATAAGATGTGGAAGGAGGGGAAGCTGAGGTGTAGAGTTCACGTGGTGGAAATGTACTTACATTTATGAGATGTTTCATGGAAGCCTCACCATAACCACACACACACACCGCCTTGCACTAAATACACAAAAGACAAAAAGAAAGAAATCAAAACTTACTGTTACAAAAAAAATCACCAAATCACAATAAGGCAGCAAGAGAGGCAACATGGAACAAAGGTACCATGAAAACTAATAGTTATGGTAAATACAAACGGATTAAACTCTCCATCAAAAGACACACAGAACAGCTGACTGGGTTCAGACAAGAAGACACCGCTAGGCCGTCTACAAGAGACTCAGTTTACCTTCAGGAACACACTTAGGCTCAAAGTGAGTGGGTGAACATTTTATTTCATGCAAACGGAAACCAAAGAGAGCGAGGAAGGCTATACTTGTATCAGAGAACAGAAAAGCCATCGCTTGATGACAGAGAGCTGCACTCTGGGGCCGCTCCGACAGGTGTCACTCAGGGCTCTGAGTCACAAGGCCCCCATTCCCAGCAGCTGCAAATGTCCAGTGCCAGGAGGAGCGAGAGACGGGCGAGATTCCAGCGCGGGCGTCGCCTGCACAGCTGGGACAGGGACGCCCCAAGTGCTGATGCCACAGAGACAGGCGTGAGGACCCAGGCAATGACCTGGGCGGGGCAGAGGGTGTCCCCCATGGGACGGGGAGGAGGTGAGACCCAGGAAGGAGTGGGCAAGGGGCTGTGGCGATGCCGAGGCACACGCTCGCTCAGGAGAGGCTGGGAGGCGTCGCTGCTGCTCTCCGTCTGGACTTGGCAGGTGCACCTGGGGCACCCTGTCCCTGGCCCCTGGCCCAGAGCCCTTGGCTGTCCTTCCTGGAGCCCTGGGGGCTAAACTCCTTGGAGGGCGCCCTGCTGTGTCCATCCCAGACACCCCTGCCGGGCCCTGCGCAAGCTGTGCCAAGCTTCTGCCAGGATTGCCGCCAGGATCAGCAAGACCAGCCCGGCCAGGCCCAGGCGGACGCCGTTCAACACCGGGTACTCCTGGGAAGTGGGGGCTGGAACAAAAGGGGGGTGTTACTGAGCAGTGGGCGGCATCCGGCCGCTCCCAGGACTCCTGGAATAGGAGCTGGCCCCTGCCTTCTTGACTAGACTGCCCCCCGGGGCACATCCCCTGGACAGGGTCCCCAGGTGGCTCACCAGTCGGGGGCCCGCTCCTGGGGAGGGAGACCCCTGGGAGCCGGGCGGGTGAGGGGCTGACAACGGCTCCCAAGGCCGCGTCTTCATCGGGAGCACGTGGCCCAGCATGGCCTGGCTCTCTCCGCACCCCACCCCAGCACCCAGAGATCCCTGGGTTCCCAGCCCCAGGCCCACAGCTCGGAGCCAGAGTGGTTCACCCCCTCTTGGATCTCAGATTCTTCAGGAGTAAAGCGGGGCTGGGGGACAAAAGGACAGAGTTCACGGCTGGGTGGCGCCCACCCCCTCCGCGGGAGGCAGAGTCCCTGCTCCCCTCAGCGAGGAGGCCAGGCTTGGCCAGGGCCCCTCATGGCTCGGAGCCCGCGGGCCTGGCTCCGGGGTGCGGGGCGGGGGCGCCCCTGCCCTGCTGGTGCACTTCTGTACCTCCTCCATCTCCTTGCCCCTCCCCCGGCTTCAGCTGTCAGCTTCAGCTCCTGGTGAGACCCCTGCTCACCCTCCCCTCGGGGACTCTCCCCCGTCCCGACATCCGGGGTCTCCTGGGAACATGGAGCCCAGGGCTGCGGTGGGGGGCGGCTCCTGTGCAGGGTCCCAGCCCCAGGGATGGCCCAGGAAGCAGATCCCGTGGGGTGGAGACCGTCACGAATCAGTAGGTCCTGCTCTGGCCTGAGGCCCCCTCAGGGTGGGGGTGGGGGTGGGGGCGGGGAGGCTGCAGACTGAGGTGGCTGCTAGGACAGCCCAGGGCCCAGGACTGGACAGAGACCTGAGGGCACAGCTGAGACGGGGCCGGGGTCGGAGGTCCGGGGGACGTCCTCAGGGATCACCGCCAGCTCCAGTTCTCCACTGCGCTCAGACCAGGCGCCTGATTTATAGGAGACGCAGCGGTACCGCCCAGCCGTGTCTGCGTCCGTGGCGAGGAGGGGAAACCGCGCCTCCCTCTGGTTAGGCGACGCGCTCCTCTCAATCTTGACCAATATTCCTTCTTTCTCCAGGCGGAAGGTGTCAAACCCAGCAGGGCTCCGACACACGATGGTCACGGGCTGCCCCAGGAGGACCGTGGGGCCTGGCTCAGCGGAGATGGAGGGACTGGGCCAGGCCTCTAGGAGGGAGCAGATGGGAGCTCAGCGCCCCTTGGAGGAAGCCGCCCGTCCCGCTCGTGAGGGGCGGAAGGGAAGGAGTGCACCCCATTCCTGCCCAGGGCTCCGAGCCTGCCTCTGGGGGTGCCGTGCTCACGAACCCTGGACTCGGTTCTGTGCAGCCGTGAGACCACGTCTGTGCCAGTGAGACAGAGCCTTACTGTTGAGACTCCCAGAAAGGGGGCTTCAAGGGCAGCATTACGCCCCTAGGGCCTGTTTCTTATCCTGTCTGCCTTTCCTTCTCTTCCAGCCTGAAAGCAGAGGTGATGGCTGGAGCAACAGCAGCCATTCTGCCTCAAAGGTGGCCTCAATGCTGGTGGCCACAGGGTTTTGGAGCGGAAAGGGGGGTCGTGCACCCCAGGTGACAGCTGCACCTGCCTGAGCTTCCGACTCCGAAGGAGCTGTCCAGCAAGAGACGGACATGAGAAGAGGCGGTTTTGGAACTCTGACTTGGAGGGACCTGCCAATGAGTTGCTGGCATCCTGCAGGCTTCGGGAGATGAGTGTGGTGTGAGCGGGGGTGGGCTCTGCTCAGAACCAACTCGACCCCGGCCCAGAGGCCTGCCCTCTTTATACACAAGATAGACCTCAGCCTGCAGAGAGCCCTGGCACCAGAGGGTCACAGGGCTCCCCACGGCGACCAGGAGCCTGGGTCAGCCCAGATGGAGGGCTTGGGGAGGGTCCCTGGAAGGGAATCAGAGCTGCAGACCCCGGGTGCCGCCCCTCCCCCGCCCCCTTCCCCAGCTCCACTCCCAGCCCCTCCCAGCCATCACCATCAGCCCAGCCCACTGGGCTCCTTAACCCTGAGCTGCCTGGGCCCCGGGGGCTGAGCCAGGTCAGGGGAGGACTCACCCGCCTGTGCCTTAACCCATGGTGCCCAGCATAGCCCTGGAAGAGAGGTCCCCGTGAGAGCTGCTCCCCACTCCCCACCCCTGCAGAGATGCCCAGGCCCGCCCTGGTCCTCTGAGTCCTAGGGTCCCAGCTGGGGCAGGGCGCTGTCCCCTCCCGCACCTGTGAGGGGTCCCATTGTCCCCGTGTCCCCGGCTCACCCAGGCAGAGGAGGGCAGTGAGGGCTGGGGTCTGGGCCCCGCCGCCCATGGTCCCGTGGAGCAGAGCAGCTGTGAGGGCCACAGGCCCAGAGCCCGGCTGGAGATGAGTGGGGAGACGTCACGGGTTCCTCATCTGTGGCCTCACAGGAAGGGTAGCAGCCCCTCCCCTGAGGACGGGCCCAGGACAGAAAAGGTTTTGGGGACCATGGGACCAGGCCTCCGCCACCGCTGCCACCTGCGCTGTGCCTGCCTGGTCTCTGCCCCCCCACTCCAGCCCCACCAGGGGGTGCCCCTCATGGGCGGGGCCTAGGAGCTGCCCGGTTAGGGTTCTGGTTCTCCCTGCACAGGCCGGGTGGCCGAGACACGCACTTCCCCTTCCTGAGCTGTTGAGTGCAGATGTGGGGGCTGGGGCAGGGAGAGGGGAGGGGACGGGGAGGGCTGGATCCCGTGGGGAGGGTGACGGAATCTTCCAGGCCTTTGGCGCTGACAGGAGGGCATGAAGAAGGCACAGACGCTGCAGAGGTGTGGCTGAGCTGCAGCCCAGCTGTGGCTGTGGCAGGTGCAGGAGGGCCCACAAAGAGGACCCGGCCTTGGGGTGGGGTCCTGCTGAGGGCTGGTGGGCCCAGG